TATGTACCATTTTCATTCGTATTTGGCACATACATCATACATATCAGTGTGTTTCATAATCAGATCAAAAATGGCTGAATAGCGGCTGTTTTTATTTTGGCCATATTACTATGACACGAAACACTTGTTTTGATGTCAATAAACAATCTGTTGTATACGCCACTTTCACAGTTTCAAGGACACGCTCGCTACAACCCCTGCGCTTTAATAGGACGAGCACCAAGAGAACTTAACAGGGACTGTGTCATTTTCAATGACTTGTTTTATCACAGATTGTCAAATTTTTTTCTGAATGCTGTTTTTTTCAGCATTGAAGCTGGTACATTAAACCATAAACCTGTATAGAGGGATTATTCCCTTCAGACAGGAAAATATATACAAATACAAAATATGTATACAAAATATGTGCTCTGAAACTGAAATATGTGTCAATTCCTGCTATTAATTATCTAAAATATTGCTCATAAATTCAATGATATATTTTTTGAAGGCAAATATTATTATTTTAAGGATGCCCCTAATTGTGTTGATAAACGTATACCATATTTGTTCTATTAGAAACGCATCTTAAGTACATACACGTATAAATACTCGTATTAAAATATGACTTGTTGTGACCATAGACATTCTTCTGGCATTTATGTTAACACGTACACTACCAATAGAGCAAATACAGTAACCCTATTCTGTCAACAGGTTTACCGGGACTATCATAACTGCTGCACAGTGACTGATGAATCATTATTTAAAATCAAAGCTTTAATGTCGCATAATTACAATCCTGAAGATTAAAAGCTTTTTATCTTTCTTGTCATTTTAGATTTATCCTATGTCATTATTTTATCCCAGGAAATAGATTTATTTGAAAATTTATCTGAGGGAGAAATATCCCAGGCTGAAAACAATAATATTGCTGATATGAAAAATAAAATAAGACGATCATTAGTGAATTTTGAGCTTTGTAGTAATCCTGCTGGTAAATTATATATTTTAGTCTATGTAATGGATAACAATTAAGAGCGTTTGTAACATATTTAGGGGTTTCTAGAAATATATTCTATGTCCCTGGATGTTGAGTGCTGTCACTCAACTAACCTGTTAACTAGGATTTTGCTCATTCAGTGATAACACTAGAATTATCAGCTGGTGCAGGGCAAGGTTGGTCACCTATACACGATAAACTGAACAGTATTTTGAAGGGATTATGTGTTTTTTTTTCACTGAATTAGGTCATACCTTGTTTACTCAGACAACACGTAATATCAATAAAACGATTTGTCTGATCTCGCTTGTTCATGCGCAAAATATCTCCCTCACGTTTATGTGCTGGTTGTTTTAATACAGCCAGCAAGCAGTGGTTAATAGATTCTGTTCTTGGACCACTAGATTCTTTTATGTGACTACTAATCTCAAAATTACGCTCATCTTTAAAACCCATCTAAATTTGTACATGTACAGGTACATTTGTACATCTAAATTTGTCCAAAAAAACTTTTTGGCTAAAGCTATAAATTTCAGATGTAAAATCATTTCATATGCAAAATAAACAAAGACAACAAGTTGTGGAACCCTGAATCCTACAATATATTTATGAAACGAGTAATAATTTTCATTTGATCTGACAACAGTGTCAAAATCTACAATCTGCCAAGCAATATTTTCAACATTGTGATTCCTTCATTTTATTTCAAACTGATAGTTACTCACAATTCTCTGGGTGCGACACAATTGTCATTTGTCTGTGGTTCAGTACATTATGTAATTATTGATGAGCTCAATATTATTCCACCAATCAGCATCAAGGTCAAAATGAGAGCTTAGTTTTCATGAAAACAAATTTGTCTCCATATTTATTAAAAACAGCCATCTTGGAAAACAAGCAGCTATTCACAGCCATCTTGAAATAATGTAAATTTATGTGTATGCACCCCCCCCCCCCATTAAATTCTGTGATATGTAAAACATCATTGAACTTCGCTTTCACTTTTTAGCTCCGCTGTCAACTTTGTCGAACGGAGCTTATCATATGAGTGATTGTCCGTCGTCCGTGTCAGTGTTTTACTTTTTCGACTTCTTCTTGAAAACTACAAGCCTGAATGCTTTGATACTTGGTGTGTATGTACCTGGGGTAGACCTATCTTAGATTTGTTAATTTCATGATGATATCTTCAATTCTCTAATTTTGATGAATAATGTTGTCATTTGTGGTAAAAAGTGATATTTTCGACTTCTTGTTAAAAACAGCAAGTCCAATTGCTTTGATATTGCATATATAGATACTACATGTGGACCTCTCTCAGATTTTTTCATTTCATGATGATATCTTCAATTCTTTACTTTTGGTGAATATTTTTGTCATTTTTGGTAAAAAGTGATATTTTTGACTTCTTGTTAAAAACGACAAGTCCAATTACTTTGATATTACATATATAGCTACTACATGTGAACCACTCTCAAATTTGTTCATTTCATGATATCTTCAATTCTCTAATTTTGATGAATATTTTTGTCATTTTTGGTAAAAAGTGATATTTTCTTCTTGTTAATAACCACAATCATTTATGGTGAAAAATGATATTTTTGTATTTTGAATATTGTTCATTTTCTAATGATATCTTCTGTTCTTTAATTGAAATGTGCATTGCTAACAGCACAGCTATCTCAGCCGAGAGGCTGCTTGTTGAAATATCTTGTTTAATTATTTTTATTGAATTTTTAGCCGAGAAGTCGTTGGGTACAGCAAGACTATCTCCTTTTTTGTCATAAAATGTTTAGAGAAAGAGAAAAAGAACAAATAGGAGGCTCAGCAAAGAGCCAAATGTACATTGTTGCTTCATCACCCACTGTTCCAAATGAACATTGACTAAGGTGGTGTAATAAGATTATGGCCATTAATTTACAATCATTATAAAATCAGGTAGATAAAATATGTAAATAAGCTAGCTTTGATTGAACTTCACAATACTGATGCTGTTTATGATGAAAACAAACAAACCATAATTGATCAAAACAAATTTTACCCCTGGCAATCCCGGTAGAAGTGTGAGACAACCCACACCATTGCTTAGCAGTTAGAGATGTATAGTCCATGTTTCATACATGGTTTGTAATATAAGTTAGATATGGTAATTCCTGGATCGATCCAGAGCAATCTATGCAGGTTTTCTGTATTGACATGGCTATAACAATATAAATGCTGTGTCAGAACAACATTACAAGCATGGTGTTGCGCAATGTTACTATGACCTAAGTTAGATATATCAGGAAGCGATGTTACAGCAATCATACTCAAATTAGAATAGTTCGTCTGACAGTTGTGTCAAAGAGTGAAATATTGACCCTAAAAATATTGACCCTATTTGTTGTATCACACTGACAGTACAATAAATTATGTATATTTGACTTCAAAATACATGTAAGTAGAGAAATGGACCAGTGATTGTTGAAAGACGTTTCATGAACCCTTTTAATTCTTCACTGACAAGGCATGGGGTCAGGATTGTGTGCCTATCACTATTGTTATTAAAATTGTACAAAAATGTATATTTCCCTAAGTTTGTGGGCTTTAGTTTGGAGCATTTTTCAATAACTACAAAAAAAGAAGTTGACATGATTTTTTTTTGCACTAAAACCCTCCTATTCTAAAATTTCTGAGTGTGGCTGAGTCAGTAACATGTGAAATTCGCTAAAATTTTAATGCATTTTGACAACACTTTCACAGGATTTCCCTACAACTTAGTTACTGTACTGTAAATGATGAAAGTGTTCAAACTCCTCATAGGCCAGGTTACAGAAAAAGAAATTTTTAGTATATTTGCACTTCTATTAGAGAAGATTCTTCTGAGATCAAATTTAGCATGTATATGTGTATATTCAATTTGAATTATTGCTTTCAGTATTGTTGGTACTAGTATGACAATGAGAGTTGTGAAACAAAAATAAATCGGTACAACTGTAACATTTGTACTTAATATACCAGGGTAATATTTATTTATATATTGGTTTCTCAGTTATGTTTCATGAACTAATACTACAAACAAAATACAGTAAGCGATTTTCAAACTGAAATATAAAAATGTATTTTATCTGCTTATATTGCCACATTTTGAAACCTCACTCAGTTCCATAATCTGCAATACCCAGAACAAGTAAGCATAGACTTGGGCGTCACTGTTTCTACAGTACACATTAGTCTCTCAATCATGCTCTATTTGGTTTGTCTTTTTTTTTTCTGAATAAATAATGGTATTTAATAACACATGCTGCATCATTCATTACTAAATCAGTTGTATATGTTGTATCATGTCTTTGTGGTAGTGTGCGTCAGACTATGTTATTAAATCACTGAATCTCGCGTTTATGCATATTCAATGGATTCATATTCCCCTATCATACAGAGGGGTGTTAATATACGGTGTAAAATAAGTAATATTTCGATATACATGTAAATGTAATCATGGTTCACATGTACTTCTATGCACTTCTAATGGCGAAATCAGGGTAATCAGTTAAATCTCTATTGTATACATTAATCTAACTTCTGAATTCTACCTGTCCATCTATTTTAATTACCCTTTTATGCTCTGATGAATAAGACTTCTATTATAGATGACGTATATTTTCTAACATGAAAAAGACGGTGCTAATATTTTCACAGCATCAGTAGGTATCATATAATCAAAATAATATATATTTTTTTTTTCCTTGAAAGCTGATATAAATTTGTGAAAATGAAATTCAGTAAAATTACTTAATCTAAATTGATTTTTATGACAAGTATGTAAAAATAAATGTCAACCCAGTTGATGATATACAGCGACGATCAATGTGACCAGTTTAAATTATGAATATGTACTTTATTAATTCCTGGTCACATGATATTTTTATTTGAAAAACATCAATAGCAGCACACAGTGTTTAGACTGTATTCTTTACGGTGATAATAAATATTATATTATTTATCTTTTCTAAACTATGCTTTTCTTGTTATTTAATTACAGTGCTGCCAATTCATGTCCGTCTAGTCCACGTGGTGGCACCGGTCACCGCCGCAATGTCGCTTCTGAACTCCAAGCAGCAGCGTATGCAGCTGCAGCAGTGGCTGCTGAAGATAAAGAAAGCCACTCATCAAGTAACGAGAGTCCTAAAGATGATTCCAAACCACCTTATTCATATGCTCAGCTCATAGTCCAGGCAATTATATCGGCGCAAGATAAACAATTAACACTTAGTGGAATTTATTGTCATATTATGAAAAATTATCCCTATTATAGGTCAGCTGACAAAGGCTGGCAGGTAAGTCTCTGTTCATGATTTGCTTTTAATAAAGGTATACTGACTTGAATAATATTTTGTGAAAAAAAACTACAAAATTTCCAACTGAAACATTTGTATTTCTAAATTGGGCTTTCCTGACAATTGCGCATATAGGACACTTACATGTATGCAATAGCAAATTTTTGGAATTGTCCTTTCCAAGAAGAGAAATTATCATGTGCAAAACATTTGGGCATTTCAAGTAGAAGGTGTTATTAAAATGTTGCGACACCAAAGTCCTGGTGCATTTGGCATGTGTTAAAATAAACTACCGGTAGTTTTTGATTTCTAGTTTTGATGCCACAATGATTATGAAATACTTAATCCAGTCCACTAATGCATGTCTAAATATTGTTTCTTCTATAGAATTCAATTCGCCACAACTTGTCACTTAATCGTTACTTTATCAAAGTGCCTCGTTCACAAGAAGAACCTGGTAAAGGGTCATTTTGGCGGTTAGATCCAGCATCCGAAGCCAAGTTAACAGAGCAAGCATTTAGAAGGCGGAGACAGCGAGGAGTACCATGTTTTAGTAGAACACCATTTGGGGGCATTTCATCAAGGTAGGTGTGATCTTATTTTCCAACTGTATTTAGCTGCATAGTTGTTCAGTGCTAGTGTTTTCTAAAGTTTTCAGATGTCAGTAAAACCAGTTTGAAATGTCAGTAAAATGAAATAAAGATAACATAATAAATGCACTGAACTTTGCTAACCCCTTTGCTTCCTTTCGCCAATTACCAATGGGGAACTGATTGGTAGATTAAATTACAACAAAGTATCTCACTTTAGTCATCACTGACAGATATCAAATCTCAGAGTAATCTGAGAAAATTATCGCCATTTAAAAGAATCATTTCAGCTAAACATAAGAAATGATGAGTGGCACTGTTCTCACCAGGTGTAATTGTTCTATCAGTTTTTATCTACATGAAACTAGAGACATAAATCAATGTTGTGTTTTCCTTGTATAGTTTATTTTATGTTTGAATTTTGTTACCGGTATAACTTCTTACATTTTTATGAGACAATTTGTCTCATGAGAGTAAAAAACCTGGAGGAAAATGTCTAATGTCTGGTGAGAACACGGAGTAGGATATTTTTATTTATTTGAATTTGAAAAATATTCTGATCTTCCTTTGTTATGTTAAGTGACTTTTTTAGCTCCGTTGTCGACTTTGTCGAGCGGAGCTTATCATATGAGTGATTGTCCGTCGGCCGTCGTCCGTGTCAGTGTTTTACTTTTTCGACTTCTTCTTGAAAACTACAAGCCTCAATGCTTTGATACTTGGTGTGTATGTACCTGGGGTAGACCTCTCTTAGATTTGTTCATTTTGTGATGATATCTTCAATTCTCTAATTTTGGTGAATATTTTTGGAATTTTTGGTAAAAAGTGATATTTTTGACTTCTTGTTAAAAACCGCAAGACCAGTTGCTTTGATATTACATATATAGATGCTACATGTGGACGTTTCTCAGATTTGTTCATTTCGTGATGATATCTTCAATTCTCTAATTTTGGTGAATATTTTTGGCAAAAAGTGATATTTTCGACTTCTTGTTAAAAACTAAAAGTCTAATTGCTTTGATATTACTTATATAGGTACTACATGTGGACCTTTCTAAGATTTGTTCATTTTGTGATGATATCGTAAATTCCCTAATTTTGGTGAATATTTTTGTCATTTTTGGTAAAAAGTTGATATTTTCGACTTCTTGTTAAAAACCGCAAGTCCAATTGATGATATCTTCAATTCTCTAATTTTGGTGAATATTTTTTGTCATTTTTGGCAAAAAGTGATATTTATCCGATTGCTTCGATATACATGTGGAACTCTCTCAGATTTGTTCATTTCGTGATGATATCTTCAATTATCTAATTTTAATGAATATTTACCATTTTTGCTATACATACTATACATATTGTTCATTTTCTAATGATATCTTCAGTTCTTTAATTGTAATGTGCCTTGCTAACAGCGGAGCTATCTCAGCCGAGAGGCTGCTTGTTTACACTTAGCAAAAGCCTACAGGCTGTGGTATATAATATCTTCTGTGAATCAGGAAGTAAGGTAACAAGATTGGGGAGGCAAATACGACTTACTTCCTAAAATAACATTCATGATATTTGTGAATGTATTGTATGTATTCTCAGACTGTTTGTCAAGAAAAGACCATGTATGTCAAGTACTGATGGTTATTTTTAATATTTCTAACATTACTAAATTGATTTATTCTTTCAGGTCAGCACCAGCTTCACCCACACACAGTAGTCAGTATCACCACATGGGGACATTTACTCCAGATAACTTATCACGAGAAGGCTCACCAGTACCATCTGGTAGTGATGCAGAGCATCAAGCTGAGCAACTTCAGTTACAACAACAGCAGCAGCAGCAGCAACAGCAACAGCAGCAGCAACCACAACAAAATGTTGCTGTTATGCAGTCAACACAGATGGTGCAAGCTCCTAGAATACTAAACCAATTACAAGAAGTAAGAATGTTTTCCATTGCAATGAGGCAACATCCATGCAATTCATTTTGCCACTTAAAGTACTTTCTATATAGTCACTATTTTGATGTCAACTGAGCCCCTGTGATAACAGCCAACAGAGTATGTGCTACTTCTCTTTTGTGTTCAACTCCAGATATCATTTCAACTCTGTAAATTCTAATTGCCTGTGGCTTAGTGAAGCAATATCTAGTCAATTTGCACATTAGGCTCCCCCCCTCGAAAAAATATTGTTTCTTGCCCCAGGAAAAATTGATGAATTGTTTACACCGCCAACATTTTGATTGGTTAATAATTGACTTGACCTTATCAGGTCAAAGAACACAAGTTTCAGGTCAACTTGTGTATGGGAGTAACATGGCAGATATTGTATCGCATTGAGCATTCTCTTATGATGAAACTAAGTATAATTTTACTTTTAAGTGACGTTACATCATTGTCTGTCCCTGTGGATTGGCAAAACATCTCCTGAAACTAGAAAACAAACATTTCCATATTCTATCGTATGTGGCGCACTTCACTTGTACGCAAAATTTCCCTGTGTCCCTATGTTACTGTCATTGTCTGTCCCTGTGTTTTCTGCCATCTTTGATTAATTGTTGATTTTGGTTGGCAAAACATCCCCTGAAACCAGAAAACAAACATTTCCATATTCTAACGTATGTGGTGCACTTCACTTGTACACGAAATTTCAATGAGATATGATTTTAATCAGATTTACCCCATCACTTTATACACAACTGTTGCTCAATCCTGTTGGTGTTAAGGCTCACTGTTAGCCATGTATGCCCTCTTACCATCATTTCTCAATGTTTTATGTTACAGGTGAAATTCACACCTATGTCACCGCCTCCGCCAGTTAGTAATGCAGGTGTTCCAATCACTGTCACCATGGCAACACATCAACTACCAACAGTTATTAGTCAGCCAAAAAATTATATGGTCAGTAAAGCAATGGCCATGCCGGCCAGTAATGGTGTGATCGGATTAGATTCTTCTAATGGAATTAAAAGAGAAGACATTAATGAAGGTATTTAATAAATGTTTATTGTTCATTATAATTTGAAGGCAGTAGGGGATATCCTGCCTTCAGACGAGATCCAATGTAGAGCAAGTTTAGAACATTCTGAATCACATGACAAATGATCTTTTCCTGTCATTTCTGACACCACCGTTATATAGCACAAGGTTCTTCAAGGGTGGATTCTATGGCAAATCTCATTTTTGATTTATATTAATGATGTATAGTAACTCTACCAATTCTTCTCACTTTCCGTTCTCGGCAGATGATGTTAACCTTTTTAAATTCATTCAAAACAATAAACTCTCTCAGGGACTTATAATTACCGGTACTTTTGAAAAAAAAAAAAAAATTACATGATAATTAAAACCACTGATCAGTCACTACCGGGAGCAGCCTGGATAATATAATAACGAGTCATCGAAGAGGGCGTATGTGCCTCTAATTACCTTTGTTTCTTTGTTAACCAGAATATAACATGGAAAGCAACTCTACTGGTACTTCAACTCGTATATCTCTCACAGAAAAAAATAGTACGCCCCATCACTTTCTCTGTGACTCGTATTTCCATGCTGCTCCTCTGTTCCAAAAACTAAGAATACTAGACATTTTTTCACTCGGCAAATTTCAAACCTGTTTATTTGTCTTTTATCTTAGTTATAACTATTTTATATATAATGTAAATAACTATTTAGACCAATTGTCTCAAAGTTATCCAAACCGCTTAGCCCGTAGCTTGAATTATTATACTCTAAAACTGAATCTTACACCCAACCAACACAGTCTAAAATACTCAGCAACAAAACAATGCAATTCATTGCCTGATGCATTATAAGTAGCATTTGTTATTTCTATTTTTTATTTACTGTCACACGCAACGTAATATTACCGTAATTGGTATAGTACAGGTGTGATGGTTCAAATACCAAAATGGCAACAGTAACATAAAGACTTCCCTGGCGGCGATGATAACATACGAACACGGACCCAACAGATGAGGTTTCAACTGGTACTGGTATTATTATACTCTGCAAACATCAAGTACAATAACGCGGTAAAACTCCACTACTCCAATGACTAGATACTTAAACTCCAATAAAATTCGACGAGATCTCCGATCTGATCTCAGTGCTGAACAACTCCCCTGTATATACCCACACTGTCTATAAATAGACCATTACATCAGCATACATAATGAGTCTGGAACTTACTACACATTTCTAGAATGTTCCATTACCTTCTATTGCCTATTCAACCAGTTTCTAAAAAAAATCTAGAATATTCCACCCAAGACACAGTACGGTTCTAGAACATTCTCAGTGACACGAAAGTGGTAAATAAGTCGTATGCGACATATACACCATTTACCATACTCGACCGCATTAGCACCCATGCCCGGTCAAGCGCCCACACCCCAATTTTGCACAATTTTTATATTTTGGGTCACATTTGGCAAAGCGCCCACCCCTTCAAAATGCCACTAATTTAAGTTTGCTTAACAAATATTGGTAATCTTTTTTTATATGATACTTAGGGAACTGATCATTACCACCAAGCCGGTTTCCTGTGAGTCTCCTGCGGCATGCGTTTCTTTACCGTACCGGCCGTTGCTTTACCGTACCGGCCGCTGCTTTACCGTACCGGCCGCTGCTTTACCGTACCGGCCGCTGCTTTACCGTACCCGAAGGTCATTAGCCGTACCGGCAAGGCCGTTACCGTACTGGCAGGAGGCAATTCACACTTCTGACAAGTTAATTTATGCATTGATTTTCCGGTTTACCGGTAAAATGCCGACCTGTTTAAATTTCAGTTTTATGCACAGGATCGCCTGAGAAAGCAAAACTGTAGAATTAATTTGAGTAGAATTTGTTTAGTTTGTAGTTATAGTCTGTTTATAAATCATTTTGTTCATGTTTGCTATGCAGTAGCTTTCGA